TCTTGGTAAATATTGATCAAAAATTGTATTTTTACTTCCCGAGCGTAAGCAAAGGAAGTATTGTAATCGAGTCCGTCGGCCGACTCTCTACTTTTACGTTTTCTCGATCTTTCATGACCCCTAGAAGACGAAGAAATAGGTCTCCCATTTCCGTCTGTCTGTCCGTCTGTCCGTCTGTCCGTCTGTCCGTCCGTCTGTCCGTCTGTCCGTCTGTTGTCACGGATTTTTATTAGACAGATAATCTCCGAAAGTACTCGACCGATTGTTGTGAAATTTTGTACTTATATTAAGAATATCATGTAGATGGTAAAACGCTAATCAAAATTTGTCGAATCATCCCCACCACTAAAGCGATGACGTCACTTCAAAATTGTACATAGTAAATGGGTTTTCAATTGTATAAAATAACATAGTCCTACACATGTAGTTTACAACTCTGAATCGACTTTTCACCCGAAACGTCCAGATTTTTGGAAAAAAAATCAAAATTATAAAACAACATTTTGAAATTTAATTTTTAATCTGCTAACCAGAATGCTTTGAAATGTTGCAGATGTTTTAAGGCTATAAAGAGCATCATAAATCTTTAGTCAAAAAATATTTGCTTATCCCCTCCAAAAACTTGATGACGTCAGCTCAAAAGTTTGTGGAATAAATCATATCTAAAATGTACAAAATATGATGAGTCTGTACTTGTGAACTATCACTCCATTAATATTTTTTGGATTTGCATATACAGGGTGACTCAAAAAAATTAATGAATGCGTAAATATATTTTATTGATTTAATCAGGAACTACAAAACCGAATGCTCTGAAATCTTGCAGATATTTTAAGGTCATAAAGAGCATAATAAATGTTTAGTCAAAATATATTTGCTTATCCCCTCCAAAAACTTGATGACGTCAGCTCGAAAGTTTGCCGAATAAATCATATCTAAAATGTACAAAATATGATGAGCCTGTACTTGTCATTTATCACTCCATTCATATTTTTTGGATTTGCATATACAGAGTGACTCAAAAAAATTAATGAATGCGTAAATTTATTTTATTGATTTAATCAGGAACTACAAAACCGAATGCTTTGAAATCTTGCAGATGTTTTAAGGTTATAAAGAGCATAATAAATTTTTAGTCAAAATATATTTGGTTATCTTCTACAAAAAACTGATGACGTCAGCTCAAAAGTTTTCCGAATAAATCGTATCTAAAATGTACAAAATATGATGAGTCTGTACTTGTGATTTATCATTCCATTCATATTTTTGGATTTGCATATGCAGGGTGACTCAAAAAAATTAATGAAGGCGTGAATTTATTTTATCGATTTAATCAGGAATTACAAAACCGAATGCTTTGAAATCTTGGGAATATTTTAAAGTTATTATAAGCATGGTAAACTTTTGTTCAAAATGTATTTGTTCATCCCTCCTAAAAAAATTGATGACGTCACCCTTAAATTTTGCTGAATAAATCCTATCTAAAATGCAAAAAATATGATGAGTTTGTACTTGTGATTTATCATTCCATTCATATTTTTTAGATTTTCTTAAGAGGTGGTTCAAAAAAATTAATGAAGTCAATTTATTTTATTGATTAAATTAAAGGCAACACTTATTATTAGTATTACACCCCAACCAACCCAATTTGGTAGACACAAAATTTGTTAAAGGAAAAACTCGGTTGAAACATAAGGGTAGCACGCTTATTTACATCGACTTTAACATTACAGACCTGCATTTGTTTTATGCGTTCACTTGATTCCGCGCAATTTTTTTTTAAATTCCCACTACAAAAATGTAATGAGAAAAAAAACACAATAGGCATGCAGTCGTCAAGTTTCCGACAGCGAGGGAAGTACTGTCTAAACTCTTTAGACCAATTTTTACTAATCAAAAAGGTTTCCCACTTTATGAAGATGTTCTCTTTTGAAAAATGTTGTTCCCTGGTTTTGCTTATTCCGAGAAGTCTGTCTGCAATTATTACGAAATATTTAAAAATAATTTCACGAACGTGTGTTTATTTTGATAATGCCTATAAAATTTTTCTCGTAGAGCGTGAAAATCACAACATAAAAATTTTACGATGTTACGAGCATAATTAGCAGCAAATTAAAGAAAATTAGGAGTTCATTAAGCTCCTGTATAACAAAAAACAACTCAGCGATAAGCAGCCAATCAGCTACCTATTTTATTCACGAAATTTTTAAACTAACAGAAATTTCAATTGAATTTCTTATTCGCTGATATCTACTTGTGGATTCTTAGATTTATAAAATATGTATAGAATTAAAATAATGAGTGTTTCTTGCATTGCTACATTTCTTTTCGCGCTTTTTTCAACTTTTTCCGAGTTTATCTTTTCATATTAGGGAGATATTTTTAAATTCTGTTTCAGCCCTGTGTGTTTTATTTTCTTTTTCTTCTTTGTTGAGTGTAATTCTTTTCTCCTGTGTGATTATTCCTTTTTGTCTCAGCCTACAAAACGCCACCGAGGCATCCTTGCTTGTCTTGATTTCGACTTGGTTATATTATATTTTCCCGTTGGCACTCTGTTTTGTGTCAATTTCTCCTTTCCTAGGTATTTCTTTCTTATCTCATTTTTCAAATTTCTTTGTTAAGATTAATTGTTTTCCTTGGTAATCTTTCTGTGCGTGATTTTTGTATGTTGTATTTATTTTTATTTTTGGTTCCTCATTTTTTATGACAGTTAAATTAGTTTTCGTTTACAGTTTTTTAAATAAGCTTTCTACTAGTGTTCCTCACAACTCGACTAATTTCTTTTTCTTGTTTTTCAAATATGTACTTTCTTATAACTTATTTTCCTGTCAGTCATTTAACTTAAGATTCCATTTCTTTGAAAGAGATGTGCTTCACTTAAGATTTATCCCTAGGTTGGTTCTTAATTTTCATTTTAATTGTTTCTTTCTTGTTATCTGATTCACTTTCATACACTGAATTCCCCGGCATTTTGTTCCTCAGAACTTCATTGTTATGCAAGTTTTCCCTCTTACTTCTTCTAATTTGCATACGATTTCAAGGTCCATATTTCTGTATCGATGCACATTAGCATTAACCTTGACTTGTTAGCAAATTTGCAAAAAAATTCGTTACTCAGCATAAGTATTCAATTGACTAAAGAATCCAAGTTCACGAGCAAGAAGCAAAAAAAGTTCATTGGCTTTATTATATATACTGTATTACTTTAAAAAGCAATAGATCTGTCAACATTTAATGACAGTCGAATACGTAATTAACTTCAGGTATCCGATATATGATTCACCACCGAAATGTTATTAATAAATTAATTCATTTCGTTATTTTTTTAAGTATGATATGTACACAATAAAATTATCCTTTATTTCAGTGGAACGTTAAATATACAGCTCGCCCATTTTCATCAACGTAGTTAATGGAATTTTCTGCTAATTTATTAGTGCATTGTTCTGCTATTTTGCTCTCCATGGTGCCTTATTTTATTATTAATTGTTTAGTTATAACAATAAAAAATAATTAAACCTACCACAAATGGAAATACACCACACAATACTCTTGCTACATCATGAAAACAATTAAAAATAAATTTTAGAAGTTTAAGTGTTCATCGCGGTTTATAGTTCAAGTATAGGTAATAATACTATAGATAATTTTTGTACTATATTTATTACGACGATAAATCAGTTAAGTGCAAACACGCCAAGAGCTTCCGAATAAACAAAATTAAAGTATGTCAATATCACTACAATTTCAATCTCTCAACGCTGAATTGGACGTCAACTAAAAGTCATACGAAATCAGCCAATCCGATTTGAGAAACGGCCTGGCTTTTACATTGTTTCCAAACATCTTGATGGCATTACAAACAACCGATTAACAAAAATAAGAATGAAGCTTTCTTAATGACACAAAAAATAGAACCGCGAAAATAGAAAAACTAAACGAAAATACACTTATCAATAGTGCCAGCTTAAAAACGAGACGTACTTTAGACCCGATTCTTATTTACAGTATTTTAAAAAGTTAAATTTATAACGGTCGGTAAACTGATAAGAGATAAGACGACGAAATCTTGTGATTTTTAGAGATGTTTCGTAATGGAATTACGACAGGGAGTGCAATTTTTCATTTTGTGTGTAACGATTCAGGAGGAGTTTGACCCCTGTACGCCACTGGCCTGAGTAAATAGATTGCGTAACAATGCGAAACGTTTTATCGTAATCACAGTAATTACAAAACATACTTAAAGAGAGATAATTATTAACAAATTTTAGTTTTTAGTAGGTCAAGCATGCTTGACTTTTCGGCTTAGGATCCCTCCACTTATATTTGACAGTTATGATAATATAGTGCATATAGGGATAGGGATATCGGGTCAGAGCCGGCTTCAGACGACGATAAATAGAGCACCCAGACGGCTCCAATGAAATTCTGAACAACAAAAATCAATACTTTAAAAAAACATGCTCGGGCGCCAATTTTTTGCTGTCTCAGGGTCGCCACCAATCTAAAGCCGGTCCTGATAAGGAAATCATCCCTTCGTATATTCGCAAAGGTCATCTACCCCTCTACTCCACTAACCCATCTCAGGTGTCCAGATCAATACGTTTCATCCCAGTTTTTAATCTTTCGCAAACATCTCTTATCCGGGGTGTGGTTCACCCTTCCCGCCCCCAGTACAAATCTAATTTAATTTAAACCACCCCACGACATCGATAAGTCGCCCCGGTACAGTCTGGCACAAATAGCCACACTTATTTTTTCACCAGTGGCGTAACATGCGATAAATCAGCGGGATGTGTTCTCCCGTCCAAACGACTTGGCCGGCTTCCATCCCCCCACCACGTGACATCCCCGCGTTGGTCTTGTCACTTTTGATGGATGCCGTCGTTTGTTCCGCACACGTGACAGCCCAGAATAGCCCTGTGGATCGCGACGATGACCTTGAACTCACCTGATCGGGAAATCACCCCCTAAATGTCAAAGGTCGGATCTCATCTTACCCGTGATAGTCAAAGTGCGCCACCTGGTCCTGCGACCCTTCTTTCCCATTTTTCGTGCAGGTCAACCTGTTTCGACCACTTTAATCCAACATCCGTGCACAGCACTCACTGTTTTGTCCCCGCGTGTACACTCGGCTCAAATCACATCACCTCGAGGCCCCGACCGCTACAGCATGCTGTCACCAGTGGTATTACATAACTGGAAGGCGCGCACGTTATCGACTAAATTGTCTGCATACCCACTGTGGCTCTGCGCCGGAGCGCCGCTACTGCCACTATTTTGTGTTCGATCGGAAATTCTCGGGGACGGTCGGAGGGCGGATCTTTGCGTGGCGCGGACCGATAGTTTTTAATATAAGACGTTACGGACACCGCGCTGATGAGCTTGGGAGGTTCGCTTAAATGTCACGAGACCCTAGCGTTCGTGGTTAACAGAAATCATTCTCAAGTAGACACAACACGATGGAAAAAATGCATTTTTGTTAATCTTCCTATTATTTAAGTATTTACACATGCATAAACACAGTGGCGTATCGTGCAGGTCCCGGACCCGGGTACATTCAATACCTAGGGTCGCTGTTACATTGTAATATAATATTATAACAAGTACATGTAGCAATACATCCATGCGTAACAGTTCTGCATAATTAAAGTCATAGCACTTTTTATCTCTAGAGATGCAGTTCTCTTTTACTTTATATTTAAATTTAAGGTGCAATTTGAACTATTAATGGTGTCGAATTTAATATGACGACGTCAGTCTAAAACAGTGAACAGTATAATGAGCGCAAACATGAGGAAGTTTTAAAAATTAGCATTTTGTTGTGATAATTTATTTATCTAGATGACCAAAAAGGCTAAAAATCAATATAACCTCAAGATTTTGCAACTGTTGAAGCTGATTCCAACATTAAAAATTTGCTTTATTTTTATCAGTAAACGCACACAAATTTAGAATTGTATTAGATTTAATTTGTTTTCATTTAAGGACCATACCTATAATTCGGTCAGCATTTCTTTTAGTATAACTGTTGATCTTGAAGTTGAATAAAAAAACCCGCAGGTGTCAGTCAGTAGTTTACTATTCTCGCCAGAATAGACGAAAAATACTTGTTTGATGTTTTTTTTTTGCAGGTACATATTTTAAATTGAAATTATTATTGTCTATTAAAATGAATTTTTCGTACTCGGAATAATTAACTGGATTGTTACTAAATTTCAGATTTCTTACAAAAATTCTGAGATTCAATATGGCGGATGCGTCTGCTTGTAAAGTTGTGCTAGAAATACATGAATTTTATGGACTGGTCTGGAACATAACGTTTCGGGTTTCAGTACCCCAAGGGGATCGGGTACGTTGCTGTACCTGCTAATGTCGGATTTGAAAATATTTGAGAAATGAGTCAGCGCTTGTTGACAAAGATATTTATTCTTTCATTAGTATTAACCCCCCGCGTACTTCTCAGTAAGAAGCTTGGTCAGGGCAGATAATAGGTAGGGGATTATCCGTATCCCTCATTCAATAGCAATAGCCGATCATAGGTACAGACTTTCACATTCGCCTCTTCCTCTTAGAATTTATAACTGACTGTTTCAGTGGTGTCCTGAAAAGCGTTAGCCGGGTACTGGGTATAAATCACAAACATAATTTAGTAGGATAGAATGTAAAAGCAATAGCAGTAAAATTTACTTGTGCTTTTATGTTGCTACAAATATTTTTGTTTTTATATAAGTAAGACATGTTTACTCCCTATGAACGCATTTTAAACCAAACTGCACCGCCTCTGGTCCTGTGCAGCAGGCAACATTGTAAATTATAGATATACTCCCTCCTGTCATCTTACTTCAATGGATAATATACAGTTATCCACGTTTTCATAAATTTTCGAAATATTTTCTTTAAACCGATCTAAAGTTTGTCTAGAATTATAAGAATTTTATGGACTCCCAAAGCTAATTCGTTTTACAACCCTGTTGTCAATTTTATTGTACAGCTGAAGAGCGTGGCGAACTCAGGCACAGAAAACATCGGCTTTCTCCTGACAGGCTCTTTACCTGTACAATAGAATTGACGACAGGGTTGTAAAACGAATCAACGTTGGGGGTCCATAAAATTCAATTTAAAGATCTACAATTGTGTCGAGTAATAATTTATAATTTAATTCAAAATTCATGACATCATGACGCAGTAACGGTCTTACAGGTACGTGAATTAAAAAAATTTAAATGTTTAATTCGAATTAAAATCTAATGTGAACCCGTGAACCTGAGACTCTGATTGGTTGAATTTGTTCGCGTGATTATATTAATGGGGTGATTAAGTGCTTGTGTGAACCTGGTCTTGGACCACGTGATCAGCTTCAGCCAATTCAGCTCGCAGGTTAATTAATTAACTAGTTTTTAAAACGCATTTATATTTCTTCATTAAAATTAAAATGAACTCATTTATAAAATCCTTCCGCATAAAAATACAGTTTTTAGTTTTTAGGTAATATAGGAGTATCAGCCAATTACTTGCCCTTCAGTGTTATTAATAATAACAAAATAAATATCGTCAAAAATCCAAAAGCATGCAAAAATATGCGCAAGTTACTTAGTCTGAGTTGTTTTTAATTACCTCATTCAGTTCGTGCAGATTCAAAAGGATTTAGTTGTCACATTCATAAAACTCATTATACAAATTGCATAGACGTTGGACTTTAATTATCATGCTCGTGTGATTACACAACTCGGTTAGTGCCTCATTGTGAGCAAATTTCACATTCGAGGTAATAATGCTTTTATCCCACTTGTAACGTAAATAACGATAAGAGTATTTTTAACAATGAAAAATACATTGTAATCATGGCTCCACAAAAATTACTAATAGATATTCTAATTTCTAACACTGAGTTTGACAATAAGTACAATAATAATAATAAGTCGAGGCAATCGTCATTTAGACAGCACTTTTCTTGTCCTTGAAGCACAGTCGTAAATATGCACATTATATTACACATTTTAAATGGCATGTATTTTGTAAACATTAGAAATGACGTTATCAAAATTTCAAAGCAATTGGTTGACTGAACTTTTGTGTCTCTGATAAGGATAATTTTAAAGCGGTTATAAGATTTCGGCCGATTTTGTATTTCCTAAGTAAAGTTGCGGCCTTTGAAAAATACTACACTTTGACATGTTTTTGTGAACTGCTACGGAAGTGAAGTTTCTAAAATGTCACTTCAAATGTCACGGAAAACAATGTCGTAAAGTAGAAAATTTTACTTCAACAAACGTTAATATTTTATTGTATGTAGTACCAGCTGAATCGATAACGTCTTGAAATACTTTGTACCAATGCTTCCCGGTGGTTCGGCAAAATCCAAATTGTTAACAGTGGCATTATGCAAAATGACGTACGACACTGTATTGTCAAAAGTGACAGTGATATTGTCCAATTTGATATAGAACCTAAATTAGGCTAAATGAATTTTTAAATTTTCAAATAATGCGCCAAAATGCAACTTTCTAACGGCATCGACTGTACATACATTTTTTTTACAGTTTTGAATTTGTTTTAAATGTCTAATAAGGTAAAAAATAATACGAATAGTAGGTATGCCCAAAATTCGACAGCGATCGGTTTAGTGGTTTCGGGGATTATGTGTCCAGTTACATCACTTGCATCTCCAACAGGAGGACGACAAATGACAAACAGACGGAAACTGGAGACATCATTCATATCGTATCGTGCATTCATATCTAAGAATACATGGAACGTCTAGAAAATATGAAATTAACCATTCGTCAAATAGATCTTACGCTTGGGAAGTAAAAATAAAAGTCGTTTTCATTTTTACCTCCCGTAAGTAAGAGTGGTGCGAATAGATTTATGATGTTCTAAAATAATTTTTGTAGAATATCTCACACATAATTTAATTCATGTAAGGTACTCGTGTTGACGTAATTTTATTGTGCAGGCTTGCTATAAATTAAATAAGTATAAAAATGTTATGAGAAAGTTTGACATTTGAATTCTATATTTTGTATATAATGAACTTTTTTGTGTTATAACTAATGATACCTTCCGAAATATGTCTTTTAATGTCAGTACACAATATATATGTCATTTTTAATTCAGAATATAATATTTGGTGATTATGATAGGGTATCGAAATATTTTTCATTTCTGTGATTAAATCGATAAAACTTACAAATATCAATGTCAACAAATCGAAGATGTTCATAGCGTGAATTGCAAAAATACGCTTCTCCATAAAGGCTTTTTGCTCCCAGGTGTAAACCTTTCTATATTGTGAAAATAAACTTATTTGAATTTTAATTTGATAAGATTGATGTATCAGGTTTATTCAAAGCAAAGAAAAAAATTTCCCTAACCTCCCCAATCTCAAAACTTCTTGATCACCCGTTACATACTTTAAAAAATAGTACATTAATATAAAAATAAATTGTACATATTTGATGTTACACACAAGTTACACATTCTAAAATTCATTAATATTCTACAGAATTCTCACTATGTCAAGATATAAAAAAGGTGATAATCGGATTTGTTCCTATGACATTCAAGACTGGATTTCTAGTAAAAAAAATACACATCTGAGACTGTATCGTGTAAGAAATCTGTTAAATACCTAATCTTTGTGTACGAACTTCGTCAATTTTTTGGCCTGTTCAGAGTACGCGTGACATAGTTAGTTAATTTATAGCGTTTTTGAAAATACGTATTCAAAATAGATTTACTATTTAAAAAGTAATTATGACGTCATAAGTTTGGCAGAAAAGTCGAATTACTTATGCAAGTGTTTTCATAAAACTTGAGTCTTTTATTTCATTGACTTTGTTGCTTATTTTACGAACTTACCGTTCATTATACGTATTGTTTAATATGAAAGCTAATTTTCATCTGTCCGGGCATGTTGTTGATCCAAATTTCAAATCCGATGCTTCGGTAGTCAATACGTCTGCCCGAAGACTGTCATCGCGGTGTCTCTAAAGTGTTATGCCTGCACCCTTTGGAAATTTATTTTTGTACGAACTGCCTTCAACCCGGTGTCCAACTATAAATACCTGGACGCGAAAAAATGCAAGTCATGTCAAGGAAGATGTGATTTCACTTTTGGAGGAGTTGTGCAATGGAGTGGAAAAGTATGGAGATTGTTAACGGAGCGAGGAAACAACAAAATTTTTGGCGGGCTGACAAGGCTGTGGCTATGGAAATGCTCATGCAGTTTAATGTATATTTAAGTGTGACATTTGG